CATAACTTATAGCAACCCCGAAAAAAACGAAGAAAACTCAAAACCCACTATAGAAAAGTCGAATTCTACATAAATCATGAGAAAATGATACGGTTCTCTATCTTCTTGGGTGGTTACATATACCCAACCATCCAGGAGGTCCAGTGACCAACTGCCAACTGCACCTTCATCCACTTTCTGCATCATCTCGCTAGTGGCCTGGCCCCCAAAACCCGGAGACTGGAGAACCCAACCATCCCAACCAGTTGACTCTTAGATCTCTTAGTTAGCCAATTTTTTTGGAGTTCTTTTTGAGACTTGGCAAACTTGGCAAACTTGGCAAACTTGGCAAACTTGGTCCTGGTTAGCCCAAGAATCCAAAAATCTGCAGAAACCACCCGCATCCCGCCGGCGCTGGTGCTACTGCAGGCGGCGCCGCGGGGGGCGCGGAGGGTGCAGAGGCAGTGGCAGATTCACCCAACCTGGGAAGGAGGGTGGTGAATGATGACCTTAACTGGGAGGCATCTGACCAGAAAAACCACACCATCTATCGGGATATGGGATAATCCTTGAAAAAAATGTGCCTATTCTTGTGGACCAGCTGGGATTTTCATCTTAAAACATCTCCACAAATGAGTTCACCCACGGCCCAGGCCGCCCTGCACTTCCAAAGCAGCTGACACCTGCACAATAGACTTGCCCAGTTCGATAGAAAAGTGGTGTCAAGTCAAGGCTAGATTTAGATACTCTGCATTTTGTTTTGCTGGTTAGGATCATAGTTATATACATTCACATATACATATACATCTACATATACATATACATATACACATATACACATATACACATATACACATATACACATATACACATATACATATACATACATTTATTTACCTATCTACGTTGTTTAATTATATACATATATATATATACATACATACATACATACGTAGATTATCTCCACATTTACTGCATGTACTAAACTAGCCATCCAAGGTTCACGCAGTCCATGGGACCTGTATGATCTTAACCCCAAATTCATCAACCGGGGCTAAACTACTCCGAGGTTGACGTTCCCAAACAATTATTTCCTGCTAGATCTGGAAGGTTTCTGGGAAGCTTGCAGCATCGAACGGTTGCGGTGCTAAGAAGCTCGTCCCTGGGACTCGTACTTAGCGTTAAAAAAAAATGACAACATGATCTGACAGGAAAGGCCAGACACAACCCAGAACAACACCTGTGTGACTGTACGGATGCTGAATAATGATATCACGCAAACATGCTTCCATACTATGCCCTCCCTGTTCTAGCGACATCCCGCTTCAGCTCTCGCAATGTTGAACAGGAGGGTTGGTCATGCCACTTCTATATTCATCAAATGGATGCTCCAAAGTACCACCAAACAACACTCATCTGCAAAGCAAATGGAACAAATGGAAGCTCGATACCCTCGAAATACATCGAAGTACAGGTATCCAATCCTTCGTCGTTTTGCCGGGCTTGGGGTGTACATTGCAATTGGGGAAAGAGCCCATGCCATCTTTTTCAAGGGCGTCATTCATCAATGCTTTGTCCGGTGCATCTGGTGCAGCAGGTGCCGGTCGGACCCCATAGGGTCCACCTGCAACGTGGATGACTGTCCCATCATGGTCCCTAAGCATATACGTCGTTTGCAGATGTCATTGTCCTTTTTCAAGAAGTTCTGCGGCTATGAAATCTTCGGTATCTTTTTAGATTTACAAAGAAACGCCTATCAAGATTTCTTCAGTGAAAAAAAAGATAGTGCTGTTTCAAGATCAACCCTGAAAACCATTACATGGGTATGGCTCAAAATTATCAACCCTATAGTTGGTTAATTTACCATTAAAAATGATGATTTTTGGATATTTTTGGTACCATAATTTTGAGCCATAGCCACATGTCATTCACCAGTAATGACCAGTAGAGTCTGCCTGCGCAACTATACCCTGGCTGAAAACCTCACACCACCCACCCTGGGACCCTACCTGGCGGAGGTGGACAGCTCTTGCTGACTGGCGGAAGAAAAAAAGGCCAAGATCTGGCAGTGTGTCAAAACCAATAGTGCCCCTGTAGTTAACATCAAAATAGCTGGGATTTATGGATGTGAATAACCCACTAAAAATGGTATTAACAATTTGGTGTTAATAGGTATTGATCCATACCCATCTGTGGGTTGAGGAGTCCAGGTCCCCTCCAATTTTGGACGAAAAGAATGATTCTTGTTTCCGATCTGGCTTCCAAAACCAAAATGAATAAAAAAAAGATGTATGATATTTCATAGTGGCATATGGCAGTTTCCAATATGGAATCAATTCTGATCGCCATCCCCCACTTTCTGGCCGAAAACAACAACAAAACAATCAACCAGAACCATGAGGCTATAAAATGCCCATATCTTCCTCTGGTTGAAGGATTGCATCCCAGTTGCGTTCAAGTCCCATGTTGATTCCGTTCCTTGGAATATCACTGCTGGCACCACCCCCAAAGGGGGCCTATCGGAGACGCCGCCGCAGGCGGCGCTGCGGGCGCGGCCACAGCGGCCGCAGGTGCGGCTGGTGCGGCCCCAACCGGTGCGGGCGCTGCACCCAAAACACCTGGAGTGATCCCTAGGTGGGCCTCGGTCCCCGTCAGTTGGTTTTGTTTAGAAGTGTAATTTGGATTTTTATGCCAAATATATCTAGAATGGGGTTTCAAAAAACAACTTATAGCTAGGGGTTCCCACCTTGTACTTGGCTAGGTATCCCACGTAGTAAGTGGTCAAGAATCCAGATGAATATCGAGTGTATATGCCACTCAACTGGGTGACTCGCCCATCGAATGCACATCCAAGTAGAGTTCGCGAATTCTGAGTGGCTGGAGGAGCATCGTAGCTCCTTTTGATTGAGGATAGTAGTAGGAAAGAACTTGAGCCATACTAGCCATCAATCCTAGCTTCAGCGAACATCCAGGTGAGCAGCACAGGGCAGCAGTCCATCATACGGTTTGCTGTTTGAAACGATAGCCTAACAATTAATATTGGACATCTGATGATGGTTTTGGGGTTTAGAAGCTGCTTCTGTGCTGTGTGAACAGCTTCGCACTGTAAAATCTGAATCTTCTTCCTTTCAACAATCATGAGCCTCATGGTAGGCATGCCCTTTTCCCCATCACAACAAATACCACCAGCGCCCCAGCCTAGTGCTTTAGCTGCAGATGTTGCAGGTGATTTGCCCAACACATCCAGGGCTGCGGCCGCTGCAGGTGATGCAGGTGATGCAGGGCCCTCTGGTGCAGCTGGAGCAGCCGGTGCTTTGACCGGGGCAGCTGGGGCAGCTGGTGCTTTGCCCAGGACACTCAGGGCAGCGGCCGCAGGTGCTGCAGCCACCGGTGGGGGCGCTGTTTTGCCCAGCACTGACAGGGCAGCTGAAGCACCAGCTGGTGCGGTGGGTGCTACTGGAGTCGTTTTGCTCAATGCCGGAGTTGCAGGTGGTGAAGATTTCCCCAGCATCCCCAAGGCCGAAGAAACGCTGGAGCTTGCAGCTGGGCCATGTGGAAGCGTATCTGTAGGTGGTCCTGGCAACACGGACTTCGCCACAGCGACGGTAGGTGGTCCTGGTAGCACCGGCTTCGCCACGTCGCCTGTAGGTGGTCCTGGCAACACTGGTTTCGCCACTGCGACAGCTGAAGCTGGGGCTGCAGCTGCAACTGCTGGGGCTTTGCCGCCAAGCAAACCCAGTGCCGCTTTGGCACCAGAGCTCCCGGTGCTGGGTGCCGGCGCGGCACCCTTGGCGGAACCACCCAACAAGGCACAGGCGGCAGCCGCCATGGGTCACAGACTTTGCCGAGCTGACTTTGAGCTCTGCATCCACAGATCAACAAGGTACAACGAGTTGTTTCAAGGGCAGCAAGGGCATCCTTTGTCTTGCAATATGATGTTGGATGTTGGATGATGTTGGGATGAATCTAGGTCTTGGTCAACAATATGTGATAATGTCCAACCAAAGCAGGTACGGTGGGTGACAGAGACGTCTCTCATTGAAGAGGTTTGCATGTCAGATATGTTTGAATTCATACAAAACAGCTGGTGTATCTTGGCGTTTTGTCCACTGGGATGTGGATTATAGAGCTTTGACCCAATCTCACTACCAAGTTATGATCCATCTGGACAGCAGCGAACTATGCAGTGTCAAAGTGGTCCCCTTGGACTGTTGTAGCCTCCAAAAAAAGGAACTGGACTCTGCAAAAACATATGTCTTCAAAATAGTTTTATCCTCGGATACGTGGCCCGTTTGGCTTAGAGACTTGAATTTCCAAAGAAGTCCACAAAATATCCTATGAAACCACGATTGATGGACAGTCATCTACCACAGTTTTTGGGCAGAAGCTGTCTCAAATTCTGCTCCTGCTAAGGACTAAATGTCTTCCAACTTCGAGGGTTCATATGAGTTGAGACCTTTCAAAGTAGGGAAAAAACATGTTCCCGGGGAATTATGCCAACTTGCTTCCACATCCCTATCATCCCTGATGCCCTTTCCAAATCCCGGAAGTGTCACGGCAGAGTGGCGGCTTGTTGCCGGCCGTTTGGTCTCAAGACACCCTCTGGAGCTATTCTGAAACCTGGTTTTCAGATGTTTTGAACTCATGGACAACATTTTTCCCCATGCCCTGAATAGATCAAATATGATCAAATCCCAAACCAGAGGTTCTTACGGTTCTTTATAGGCTGTTCCTTTGTAGAGGCAAGGGATGATGGTCACCAAACAGTGAAGGCCGATTGCTTCCAGAGGGGGTCCGCTGTGAAATGTATGCGGATCGTGACAGCAATCGTGGCACCACAGCTGCCCAGAATTCATGGCATGTCGCATTTCCAGCGGTTGCAGTGAGGAAATGTGGGAGTTAATATGATATAATGGGGAAGTAATTGGCATACCTTCAGGCTATGGGTTTTTGGGGTTCTTGAGGCTTGTACCCAAATCAGGTACCATGAAGCACTTTAAAAATGGAAGTGAAATGCAATTGTGTATTGTGCTACGGTGCTGAGATTGGAGACAGGTCCGCCAAATCCGCTAACAGGTAGCTTTTAGAACGCGCATCAACTGAGGGACACGTAGAGGATGAAACCCGAACACCTGAGCAATGATCAGAGGTTGTTGGATGCACTTTTGTATACATGGGTTTGTTTGAAAATGGGATGCCCTAAACATCTCCTATTAGAATTGCCATTTTGGGGTTTTTGGTATCCCCATTTTTAGACAAAGCGTGACAAAGCCATGTATTGTTGGTGACATATCCCTTGAAAAATCCCATCATATCAACGATTGAACCATGACACCATTGCGGCCTCATCCGGCCACTGCCATTGCGGTGCTTCCATAGCCGTCTCCAGAAGCCTGGCTTAGTGTCAGCATGGAGATCTAACAGAAACGCTGGGGTTCAACTAACAAATTCCCATTGTGAATTGGGATTGACTAATATGTACTCATATGTGTTATGTATAATAAAATCAATCCAATAAATAATAATCAATAGGTTGTTTAACATTCAATTCCCATTGAAATGATCATCAACAGAAATGGAGCTTCAACCGATTCAACCAACACAATAGGGCCATAGGCTTTTTCCCATTCCCGTAACAAAAAGCATGCAATAAGCTGGATCCATCAAATACAGGGATGCTGCGCTGTGCGGACTTGGCACAAAAATCTTCACAGAAATCCTATCCATAAAACAAAAAAAAATCGCCTTTATCTGGTTTCAATATAAACAAATCCAATTCATAGTCATGATTTCTATCTCTGTGGCGAAAGACTATCTGGGACAGATATATTGAATTATGATCCAATTCAATAATGTCATAATGAGGGTCTATCTCTTTGGCGAAAGGGATCCATCATCATCATCGTTATCCTCTCTAGGAGCAAATGTGCATCCCCAATCAGAACTGGGCGCTCCCAGTTGCTAGGTATGTTCATCACCCCTTCTAAGGATTGGCAAAAACACAAAAAAAAACGAGATAAAAACGATGTTTTTCACCCTGAAATATAAACGGCCGGTTGTCTGGGAAGTATTCCCATTCATTTCTCGGATCAGCTTCCCACGTTTCCACGGCAGCAACTCCCTGCCTTCACCCTGGTGTTTGTGGCCACGGGCGACAAGGTCTTCAATTCGGTATCCTTGGTCTCCGGAAGGCTCCAAACCAGCAAGGAGGCCAGCACGAAGAAGCCCATGGTCAGGAAGAGGAACAAATGCCTGGGATCCGGCGAGGAACATGGGAAAGGCCAGCACATCTGGTCAAATTCAGCATGTATGTGCTGTATTTGTTTCATTTCGTTTCCTATTCCATTGCCATCATGGGGTGTGTACCCCATTTTCAAACCCAGATTTGGACAACCTTCGGTTGGCGAATCTCGTATATAGGGATGAGCTCCACAGCTACTTAGAATATGGAAGAATGGTGTGACAGAACCACACTCCCACACTCAACTCCTAGTTGCCCTGGTGGGTACAAACCCATTGAGAAGGTTATATCAGTTATATCTGATAGGGGTCCATTGTTGCGGGGGAGTCACCAGTTTTTTTCAGAAGCAACATCCAATGGTAAAATGCCTCTATTTTTTGGTGGTAACCAACCCCTCTAACAATCCCAAAATGATCAACCCAAAAGAAAGGATGGGTCTCATACCAGCCATTTTCCTAGAATTGAATGAAATGAAAACTGAAACCAGAAACCCTTCTGGATCTTTTGGGGTAAAACCCTGCAGCTTCCAACCACGAAAAAAAACAACCCAACGACCTATAAAGAAACACATATTAGGAAACAAACAAAAGTTTGAGAACGAAGAATATCTAGATGGGGATGGGTCAAAACCCTGGTACCTAGTGAACCCCAAGTCATAGCTGGGATTTATGGATGTTCATCCCACTAAAAATGGTATCTATAGGTATTGACCCATACCCAGATCAACATTATGATTAACCCAATAAAACCCCATGTCCTGGATCGATGCCCGAGGTGCTGAGAGGTGTGCACGATCCACGGCACAGCCTTGAATAACCATGACATGTCATGGGACCACGAATTCTTAAGGGTTTGATTTGTGAATTTGGCTTAATTCTATATTCGTGCATGTTAGATATGTTAGGGGTAGTTTATTTGTTTCAAATGCTTAGGAATGGTTTTCGTAGTGCTTAGCATTGGTCGGAAATGGGTAATAATCCCAAACAAGATGTAAGAACATCAAATCCTATTTTCAAAATAGTCTTAAATTACGTGTCTTTCTGTTGGACCACCATCAGTCGGGGTATAATCCCTGTAAGTTTGGCTCCACAGCTGTGACTCGACCCACTTTTTTTTCAAAATGAGCAGATGGTTGGTCTGACCAAAGTGGTCATCTATGATGGATGTAGACAGTATGTATGTAAGGTATTACATATATATATATACTATATATATATATATATAACCAAAACTTCGTGGCATCTGAGCTTGCAGGTGGAAGGCGGTCTGCTGAATGGAAAAAATTAAGACTTCCGATTTCACATCTTCCCAGCGTCACAGCTTCACCACTGCAGCTAGAGTGCTAGTGGTGCCATGCGTCCACAAAACGCGATGATTGACATGCTCCACACCCGGATCTGCGTGCTAAACACCTGGTACTTCACCGGACACACTGGATTGGCTGGAAAATGGATGTATTATGGTTGGTGGTCAGCCCATCCAAAAATCTCGTCCACTTGGGATCCTTATTACTCACTTTTTACCCCAAAAAGTTGCTGAATCCGGGTTCAATTTTCCGATTTTCCAAGTATGGGATTCTGCTGCTCCATTGGCTCAACCTCGATCACTCTCACCTCCCAGAGAAGTTCAAACCTAGACTACGATGATCCGATGATCCTAGACTACCAGGATTTTTTCTCTGCAAGATGGTCAGCTCATGCCACCAGAAACAATCATCAATTCCGGTCTTGCTCCCGCATGCTGCCACTTCAACGGAGGGACTTCCGCCGGAAACAAGAAGGTGATCATCTGTGCCGTGGGGTAGAAGAGTTTGTAGAAGACCACACCAGTCCTGGGAGCGGAAGATATGGTCAAGTGGGTCAAGCACTAAGATCACCAAGACTTAGAGTCAAGGGAATTATATAATCTGAACAGTCATGGTGAGTCATGGTTGTCCATGGCTTCTTGATGGTTATGAACAAGCCATTACCAGCGGTTATGGGTTACCAGCGCTTGCGGTCACGTCGATGTGACAGAGCTGCACTGATTCCATGGAAGAATGGTATCCCATTTGCGGGTCCGTTGGCACCCAAATTTTTGGGTCGAACTGAATGATTTATAGTCATATTCGACGGAAATTGTAAAGGAAACCATGCTTTCGCTTCCTACAAAACAATATGCTAGTGTATATACTGTAAATCTTCCCTTAAACCAAGTCAACATCTCACCCTGACTCTGCGTACATCCCAATGTTTTTGGTCCAAAACTATACCCATTTTGCAGTTGATAAACTGTTGTGGAACGGGTCCGCATAACTCAAGAAACCCTCACATTACCCCATATCTTGTTGGTTGTATTCCGTATAAATTAAAGACATATTTTTTGTCCATGTTTTCTTTGCCAAGAATTACCCGTTAAGCCTACTTTGGATATACCACTCCATTTTGGGGAGGTGGTCATTTTCTGATGGTTTGATCCTATGAACTGCAGCCCATCCCATGAAATGTGTCCACTTTTTGGTCAAATTGATCCCCTTTTTGTGTTGGAACCAGAATCTTGCTTGGTGAAATCACCACTTTATCCACTTTCCAAAAAAAAAAAATGCCAAGGCAAGTCCTGCCAAGCGTCACCCCAAACAAGGCCTGTTGGTCCAGGATGCCATGCACAGCATAGACTCCGATGGCGCAAATGCCGGCGGCCACGGCATAGGCCAGGCGCCTGGCTGACGTTCTCATCTTTTGATGGATGGAAAACCGACAGGAAACCATGGTTTTTACCATCAAATTTGGACGTTTCCGGTTAAAATGTTCCATTAAACTCATTAAACCAATCCGTTTTCCATAAAATGGAGGGAGTTCAGCAAGATATGATTTTCAATGGAGAAGTTTTGCAGGAAAAGCGACAGCAAACAATTGTTTTGACTCCCAAATCTGGTGAACATGTAACATGACCCACCAAGGATGCTGATGCTGAAACCCTGAAAGGGAAGGGCCCCACAGTTCGAAGTTGCTTCATTTCCAGCCACGGCAGCCACATCCACATCCAATGAAAATCATTTTTTTAATCCATAGAAACCCATCAAAAACTCAAGTTCGACTGATCCTTAGCAGCCTTAGCATCCCATGCCAACCCCAAGCCATGCCATGTTTTTTCGCACCTAGGGAGGCTAAAGATCAGGATCATCGCCACCAAGACGCCCGGTACCCCCACGAGGGCGGTGCACAGCAGCTCCTGACACTGACCAAGCTCTACGCTACGTGGAGTCGTCGTGGATGTCGTGAAGATCTATTTCAATACAAAGATATACATTGTTTTTCCGTAACGATCTATCTATCCATCTATCTATCTATCTATCTATCTATATATCTATCTTTCTTTCTATCTATCTATCTATCTATATCTGTCTATATCTGTCTGTCTATATCTATCTGTCTATCTGTAAAGATTTTGCTTTGCATTCAAGGGTCCAAAAAGACCCAAGGGTCCAAACTGGGTCCAGCTGATGAATCTCGCGCAAGCCTCGCTCATGTCCTTTTTCTCGCTCACACCCAAAATCATCCAAGTAAGGATTTGTCAGGACAAACAAATCAGTGACAAAAGGTCTGCTCAATTATGGGGCATGTTACAATTTGAATTCTCTTTTTTGATCTGTCCTGATCACATTTGCCTGCTTAAATGTATGCAAAATGCAAAATTCGTGGCATCGTCATGTTGCTACTCGAGCTTGGATGCTTTCTGCATCACTGGCCGGGCTGCTCAGCTTCAGCTCGGACACGCTCGGATGTTTTTGCTCCGTGCCCTGGACCTGGACCTGGACGGCCTGTCACGGAGAAACCGCCCGGCTTGCGACAACGGGGAGGGCACGGAGCTGGGGAGCCATGGCTGGCCAGGGGTAACACAACGGGAGAAGAAGAAGGGGAAAGTGATGCAAAATGAGAAATGTCACTTTTATAGTTTGTAAACTAGAAAAAGTTGCTTTTGTAACATATTGAAATTGTAAAATTATGCATATTTGCTGAATACTTTGATATTTTTTGAAAAGTAATTTCTATCCATATTTTTTGTCCACAACCAATCTTAAAACATTCACTGGTTCATTTTCAAGGTATTGGAATGAAATTTAAAAGTTTTTTTTTCAAAATATTTTTTGTCAAAATATGTTCAAAAAACTAATTTCTATCCTTAAATTATGTCCAAAATCAGGTTTAAAACATTCAGTGGATCATGCTCAAGTTATTGGAATGAAATTTAAAATATGTTTTTTTCGATTTTTTTTTGGTCGAAATTTGGTTCAAAAATGACATTTCTATCAAAAATATGTCGTGTCTAACCTTAAACCCTACATCCGTTAATAATCATAATGCACAATATGCACATAAGCACGCTATTTCCACACAACGGGGTGTTACAACGGGGAGACACAACGGGAGAAGAACAACGGGGAAAATGATGCAAACTGCGAAATGTCCTTTTGCGAAAAACCGCCATGCCCAAAAATATGTTTTGCGAAAATCTGGTTTCCCCAAGGATGTGTTTGCGAAAATCCTGGATATCCAGGACCGTGGTTTGCGAAAGATCAGGGTCAGATCTTTCTCAAAAGATTTTTTTACCCATGTTTTGCGAAAAACCGCCATGCCCAAAAATATGTTTTGCGAAAATCTGTTTTCCCCAAGGATGTGTTTGCGAAAATCCTGGATATCCAGGACCGTGGTTTGCGAAAGATCAGGGTCAGATCTTTCTCAAAAGATTTGCAATTGTTAAATTATGTGTTGCTACATGTGCGCATATATTGATAAATGAGGAAAACAACATTTTTTTGCGAAAAGTAGGTTTCTCAAGCATGCCGGCCACAAGTCAGTCAGATTAATCGCAAAATGGCAGCTGGATAACATCTATGTTGAACCCCTTGTTTGCGAAGAACCGGGGCCTGGTTCTTCTCAAACAGGCTGCTGATACCTGGGGTGTTTTAAGCAAACCAGGGGCTTGCGCAAAGCAGTGCTAGGGAACAAGCAGTTGTTTGAGAAGAACCAGGCCCTGGTTCTTCGCAAACAAGGGGTTCAACATAGATGTTATCCAGCTGCCATTTTGCGATCAATCTGAGCGACTTGTGGCCAGCATTTTTGAGAAAACAAGTTTTTCGCAAAAAAAAAAAAGGTGATTTCCTGTCATCATATATAATATAGCGACATCACATATACATACATTATGTATATATTTTCATATGACATACAAACATGGAACATCTTTTGAGAAAGATCTGACCCTGATCTTTCGCAAACCACGGTCCTGGATATCCAGGATTTTCGCAAACACATCCTTGGGGAAACCAGATTTTCGCAAAACATATTTTTGGGCATGGCGGTTTTTCGCAAAACATGGGTAAAAAAATCTTTTGAGAAAGATCTGACCCTGATCTTTCGCAAACCACGGTCCTGGATATCCAGGATTTTCGCAAACACATCCTTGGGGAAACCAGATTTTCGCAAAACATATTTTTGGGCATGGCGTTTTTTCGCAAAACATGGGTAAAAAACATCTTTTGAGAAAGATCTGACCCTGATCTTTCGCAAACCACGGTCCTGGATATCCAGGATTTTCGCAAACACATCCTTGGGGAAACCAGATTTTCGCAAAACATATTTTTGGGCATGGCGGTTTTTCGCAAAACATGGGTAAAAACATCTTTTGAGAAAGATCTGACCCTGATCTTTCGCAAACCACGGTCCTGGATATCCAGGATTTTCGCAAACACATCCTTGGGGAAACCAGATTTTCGCAAAACATATTTTTGGGCATGGCGGTTTTTCGCAAAAGGACATTTCGCAGTTTGCATCATTTTCCCCGTTGTTCTTCTCCCGTTGTGTCTCCCCCGTTGTAACACCCCGTTGTGTGGAAATAGCGTGCTTATGTGCATATTGTGCATTATGATTATTAACGGATGTAGGGTTTAAGGTTAGACACGACATATTTTTGATAGAAATGTCATTTTTGAACCAAATTTCGACCAAAAAAAAATCGAAAAAAACATATTTTAAATTTCATTCCAATAACTTGAGCATGATCCACTGAATGTTTTAAACCTGATTTTGGACATAATTTAAGGATAGAAATTAGTTTTTTGAACATATTTTGACAAAAAATATTTTGAAAAAAAACTTTTAAATTTCATTCCAATACCTTGAAAATGAACCAGTGAATGTTTTAAGATTGGTTGTGGACAAAAAATATGGATAGAAATTACTTTTCAAAAAATATCAAAGTATTCAGCAAATATGCATAATTTTACAATTTCAATATGTTACAAAAGCAACTTTTTCTAGTTTACAAACTATAAAAGTGACATTTCTCATTTTGCATCACTTTCCCGTTCTTCTTCTCCCGTTGTGTTACCCCTGGCCAGCCATGGCTCCCCAGCTCCGTGCCCTCCCCGTTGTCGCAAGCCGGGCGGTTTCTCCGTGACAGGCCGTCCAGGTCCAGGTCCAGGGCACGGAGCAAAAACATCCGAGCGTGTCCGAGCTGAAGCTGAGCAGCCCGGCCAGTGATGCAGAAAGCATCCAAGCTCGAGTAGCAACATGACGATGCCACGAATTTTGCATTTTGCATACATTTAAGCAGGCAAATGTGATCAGGACAGATCAAAAAAGAGAATTCAAATTGTAACATGCCCCATAATTGAGCAGACCTTTTGTCACTGATTTGTTTGTCCTGACAAATCCTTACTTGGATGATTTTGGGTGTGAGCGAGAAAAAGGACATGAGCGAGGCTTGCGCGAGATTCATCAGCTGGACCCAGTTTGGACCCTTGGGTCTTTTTGGACCCTTGAATGCAAAGCAAAATCTTTCTGTGTATGTATAAATGTACATATACATACTATGTATATGATGAGGCATGGAAAGTTGAGAAGTGTGAAGAGTGTCTTCTGACCCAGTTCTAAATGGAAAAAAAAAAACATTAGAAGGACTCCAGAACCATTGCTGTGATTACGGGGTTGGTGGAGGGTTAAGCCGCTGAGACATCATCGCAAATGGTGAAATATGCATGTATCTGATCATGTGGAATGTACACATGTTGATGTTTATGGATGTTTGTAGTATATCATTATATCTTTATGATTATGTATCCATAAAGATATATCGATATCGATATGTATATGTAATGTGTATATATATAATTATATGTGTTTATTTAATGTCAACGTCAATGTCTATGTCTATGTCTTTATGTATATATATATATATACATCATGTCTATATATGCATATATCATATATGTATCCTGTATTTTTGAATCTGACACATGAAACGGCCAAGCATATCCCAGGTTTGCTATGCCGCGCCGAGGTGCCGTGGCAGGTAAGGCACCCTCCAAGACGGAGCTTTTCCTCCACGCCAACGGCAAGAAAGCGCCTCGGCGCCAGCCACGCAACGTTGGCCACGGTCAGGTCAACCGAAAAGGGGTTACTGTACATACCTCTTTTAATCAATATATACATATTAACAGTATACATATTACAAACAATATATATATATATGTATGTATGTATGGATGGATGTATGTATGTATGTATCTATGTGTATCTATGTATCTATGTATCTATGTATCTATGTATCTATGTATCTATGTATCTATGTATCTATGTATCTATGTATGTATGTATGTATGTATGTATGTATGTATGTATGTATGTATGTATGTATGTATGTATGTATGTATGTATGTATGTATGTATGTATGTATGTATGTATGTATGTATGTATGTATGTATGTATGTATGTATGTATGTATGTATGTATGTATGTATGTATGTATGTATGTATGTATGTATGTATGTATGTATGTATGTATGTATGTATGTATGTATATACGTGTTTTTGTGTATACATATTCTATATATATATATGTATATATACAGTTTTGTCTGAAAATAAGTGCTCCAAATTTCGTGTCTACATATCAGTATCATTACTTTCCCATGAATTTTCTTTATTCTTGGGGTACGCCCAATTTTGAGTCACTCGAATCAACAGAGAGAAATGAAAGAAATGCGAGGTGGCTCCCCCAAGCCTAACTTTTGTGTTTCCTTCACCCGTGCGACAGGATGGCAAAGCCATTGACCATAGCCAGATCTTGCCAATCCCTCAGCTCAGCCCTATGTCAATTGGATGATGCCATGACTCTGCCAATATGCTTTGCATCAGCTCTGCCTAGAAAAACCTGAAATTTCATGGCCCACGTGGTCAGTTTGGCAAACATCGGCCAATAAAAAGTCGGTTCCTAATCGGTTCCCAAGGGCTCAAGAATCAAGGACCCGACCCATGCCATAGAAGGCCAAGTCTTTCACAAAGAACATGACCTGGGCACTGCGCTATCCAGGCTCATGCGCAATGTAGATCTTGCCATGATCAAAACCCTTGGAAACCCTCTCCCCCCCAAAAAAAAATCAGAGACTTTGAGATCTCAAAATTCAGGAATATCCGATGATCTTCCACTACCCATTGGCAGTGAAATAAGCAAGAACAGCATCTTTCATGCCTCAGCTGAGTCACAGAGAGTGCCAGAACGCTCAAGGAATTCTCGCGACTCGTGAGGCTTTGCAGGGCATCCGACACGCTCACTGGCTTCTCCTGGGGATCTTGATCAGTGCCCATTTGGATGGGAAAATCATCCCATCCACATGAAACACCCCTCACCATGGTGAATGTAGATGATATCACATATTTAGGACAGGATAGGGGTGATTAATTGGTGGGATGGGATGAATGATCAACAGGGTGAGGTTGGGACTGTCTCCTCATGCTCTGGGGCCATTGCACTCAGGTCCACCTCAGAAATCAGACATGGCAATGAAACAAAAGCCAACCATGGTGCTTTTTCCCACATAAAAGGGCCGTTCCATCAGACCCTGTGCGTTTTTAAACTTGACCCAGCTTTTCCGGTGTTCCATTCTGAATACGAAACTTCCTAAACCATCCATTTATAGTGAGTTTTCCCATTAAAAATGGTGATTTTCCATAGCTATGTAAACGTTTACCAGAGGGTAAACCATCCAAGTTAGGGATTCCATCCCCATCTCCCCATCGCTGGCTGGGTCGCCGGACCCGCCCAGAGTCGTTCATGGAGGCCATGAGCTCCAGCACCTAAGGCGACTCGCAAGGCTCTGAAAAATCACCCTAGATGGAAGCAAGAAACAATGGCGATACAATGGGGAAAGGATAAACCCATCAATATCAATAATATGATATTATGATATGGCAGTGTGTCAAAACCTTGTACCCCTGGTGAACATCAAAATAGCTGGTAAATGGATGTTCATCCCCCTAAAAATGGTATTAATAGGCATTGATCCATACCCATATTATGATATGATATTATATCATGATCTAATGGGACTCAACAAACAAAATATGTTGATACAACATGATACAACCAGTTGACAATTCAACGGATTGAAGGGGAAAACTATACAGGAGACTGTGGGTGTCAACTCTGAAATACAGCGGGGTGGTGTTTCAATCTTCCCATCCTCTTCAGGGAATGGATTATCTCCACAGATATTTTGGGAGGAAAAAAAACCTGCAAATATGTTCTATTTTGGTGGATTCAACGAACCAAATTTGCTGATCCCATAAGTTAAGACAACCAAAAGAAAACTTGCTATGAAAACTGGGTTTTTCATAAGAAATGGAATGATTTGTATGATTTGTATGATTTGTATGGGGTATATATATATATATATTTGCACAAGAAATGGCATTGGTGATGCCGTGAGCCCCTGAAAGCACCATCCCCAGTTGGGTTTTTTTGGGGCAAAGCTTCAAGGCCTTGTGCAGTTGGAAACCAATCATAGCTCATGGCCTCAAATGTGTAAATCACCACCACAGCATGCTCTATCCCTAGAGTGTAGTCAATCTTCCATAACTGAACAGTCTCAAACACTCGAAAAAAAATAGAAACCTTTGATCTAAGCTATGTGGCCATGTCTACCCAGCATAGATGGGTCGAATCTTGGGCCCAGTTTGTGACCGATCCATGGCCAGTGGTTTTTCGTGGTCTAACCAACTGGTCCCTTCACCAATTTCTTGCGGATCCAACCAGGAGACCAGCGCTGAAAACTTTTTTTTGGTCATGGTCCAACAGTGGATGGACAATCTGGTCAATACCAGAAATCTATAAGAAATCTGTTTAAAAAATCCGAAAATCAATGGTTTCCAATGTTTGGCTGTAAATTTCAAAACCATACCCATCTCAAGAGGGATGAAGCACCTGGATCTCTGAATCAGTGGATGATTCATCCCGTCCCCCTATGAAACAGCCCACAAGAAACCATAGTTTGGTAGTGGATACAAACACATCTTGGGGCCCATTTAGGGCATGTTCAATATTACGAGGTGGGAGTAGCGTCCATGTAAGAGGCTACTGGGAGCTTTCCAGATTCCAAATGGTGGCAATTCAAGCTGAAATGCAATCAACCAGACCCAGCAGGAACCAAACAGAAAATAGACATGGAAATCATGCAAAAACTGCTTGGATGATTCAAGTAAGACTCAGGAGTATAGACTCATTTGAATTACCAATTACATTTAATATGGGGGTCCATAAATGGGGGTACCCCAATTGATGGTTTATAATGGAAAGTCCTTTGAAAATGGATGACTGGCGGTACCCTTATAGGAAACCTCCATATGATACTACATTTCACTCATTTAAACCGGAAAAATCCATGGCGACACCCCGTTTCCAGCGACCTTCACCGATTCCAGTTGACCACGGGCTGATAGAAAGTGCGCAGTGTCCTTGGTGAGTTGACCTTTGTGGCTCTCCTCAAAAAGGCACCACTGTGAGATTTCCACAAAAAAAAAGTCTTGAAAGAAATTCTGGATGGTTCTGGATGGTTCTGGATGGTTCTGGTCCATGTTCAGCTTTGAAATCAAAATCGACACAAGGTCATACTGTATTACTTCCTTGCTGAAAGAGTCCCGTGGCAAGTTTGGGTCCCAAGGGAGTTGAAAACGTATCTGAAATCATTCCGGGATTGAAATCAAATCTTCTACAGGATTCACATGAGGAATCCCAACCCATATGTTTTGCAATTGTATATGCTCTTTCATACTGATGGAGAGTATAAGAACTTGGGAAATGACTAGTCACCAGGGGTTGTGATACTGTATCACACAACTCAATTTGAAGTGTTTGCAGAGGCCGTCGATGGTAGCGAAGAATCTATTTCAGGTGGACTTTGGACCCAGAAAAGATTCATGTTGGACCCAAAAGAATAGACATTTTTGTTCCTTTGTAGGATGAACCACTAATATAGTTTGAGCATGTTTGAACCACCACAACTCGTTTGTTCTATCCTCGTTTCTGGTCCAAGAAGCCAATCGAGCCACAGGACTGATCAAGCCGAAGGCGAGTAGCAGGAACCTACGACCAGTATGGAATCTGATTTTAGGCTGTAAGGATTGATTGGATTATATTGGATTAATAGCCTCCTATCTAAAGGGCCTTCTCTGTTTGAGGGATCTATATTACTATATATCCGCCTTAGATGTCCATAAATGATGGGCGAGACCTTCAGATCTGAGGTCAGATCTAAACCCTGCTGCGAAAATCAGCAGGCACAACAAACCAGGGACAAACAATATTGATATGGATATATAGATAGAAAAATATAATATAATATATATATATATATCAATATATGTACATCACTAACCAAAGTCCGTCTTTCAAATCGGAGCCCTGTTGTAGATGACATTCACCAAATGTCGTGGCATGGCGATCAAGAAACCACCGGGTTTTGTAGATGACATTCACCAAGGTTTGTCCAAAGGTGGCTTCAGCTCCCATGTTTCCATATGGCAGTGTGTCAAAACCTTGTACCCCTGGTGAACATCAAAATAGCTGGTAAATGGATGTTCATCCCCCTAAAAATGGTATGTATAGGTATTGATCCATACCCATATTTTTCCATCTCACAACGCAGACCCAAGCACTGACTTCGTCAAAAGCTGCGGCTGAGAAGCGGCGGGATGCCGATCCACAGCAACATGCCGTGCCACGCCTTGCCCACCAGCTCCTGGAGATGGCGAGGCGAGATCCGCCGAAAAACTCAGCCCCATTGACCAAAAGCGAATGGATGCGAATGGTAAATCCTTCCAATTGAAGCTCCAAACGACAAACAACCATCGCTTTTTGCCAGCGACCCCAGCTGAGCCTCTCTGCATTTTGTTTTCCCATCCCATTGACCAGAAATGTAGATTATTGGCAGTATGACAAAGCCTGACATTGCCCCACCATACCAAAGATGCAGGTTATGAAATACGCAAAAGTCTGACCTTTATCGTTTGATTTACTCATGAAAAATCTGGTCTTACAACATTTGACCTCGTTTCAGGGTTGGATATCTGTACCTGTCGAGGCAAAAGACCCAGGCAGTCCGGCAACAAGATGCGGAATCCCAGAGCGCACCACACATCGCCAACTGAAACAGTGTCGCGGTTAAGGGTCAAGCGAAGCACACATCGCTCACGTGCACAGCAGAGTTTCGTTTGGGGATCTGAAAAATCTCGTCCATTCCAGGGATCCCTGCCCCATATCAAACACTAGAAAGCACGGTTTAGTCTATGTCTTGTTACTTGGACCCCATCTCGTAATATATCCCATTTGTATTGCGTAAACCGCATTTTCAAGGCTTGAACACAGGATGGAAACAATCAATCATTGTGGGAGCAGCTTAAATTCTTGTTGGATAGGCCAGGGAACTACAATTGGGTTATGATCGACCATGCAACCATCATATGCTGGTAGCTCTAAGAACGGCCGGAGCCCAGGTCCCCCAGCAGCAGAACGCAAAGGCCATGGCGGCATTCGTCACGCCCCGGAGTTTGCTCGGACAAACCTGGAGGTATCAAACTTCGCGACCCCAAATACTTGTATAAATAAATGTAAATATATAACATATACAAAAGGATTCTTCCCACAATATCTACGTAAGTGAGAAGCTGCCAAGGATAAACTTCTGAAGCCCCAAATCTGGCTAAGAAATCATATTGTTTTAAAGAAAACACTAATACATGGTTGCCCAGAGATACCGCCATGGTACCCGCGCAAGTGCAAGAATTTGCCTGCAAATTGTGGGGTGACTTCTTCACTTTATCTGTGCTAAGTCACCAAATTCCTGGGTCACATCACCATTCTTGTTGGTGTCACCCCCATTTTTGATGGTCAGTTGGTACGTGGATAATATCTACCTTCTAACCCAGCTGGATTCTGAATATCCCAGTACTTATATGTGCCGTGGTCAAAACATGGATTTTCGGGGTCATCCATCCCATGGGAATTTTAAGATAATAGGTCAATCTACATCCCTATATATCCCTATGAAAATGGATTGATGACCATGTTGGGAACAGACAATTTTTCGATGGCAGAAACGTGGCTTCCGTTGGCTTAACCCGCCGGTCTCTGCCTCTGCCAGAGCGATGAAGGCAGCAGGGATCCCCAAGCCGCCAAAGAAGCCGAAGCTGCAGAAACCCAGACCTTGGAGAAGCGCCAGCGATTCTTGGCCAACTGGTCTTTTTGATGATCCCAATTGGTCCAAAAAAGTCCCAAGAAATTCCGAGTTTCATGTTGCAGATCCCATCCACTATATCCACTCACTTTGACAGTGGAATTTTGACAATGGAACAGCTGGAACAGCTGGAACAGCTGGAACAGGATGAGCTTCTCTTTTGCTCAAACTGTGGTACCCTGTACCAGGTCGATAAGTTTTGAAATGGTGACGACTGAACACTGCAGAACATGCTTCGCTTCGTTCATTGCTCGGACGGAATGATGAAGAGTGGAAGGGATATAGAACAAAGGCTCTCAGGGCAAGAAAATGTGGGATGCGAATCCAATCTTTAGGCATGGGAAACCATTTTTTGCAGCCAACAACCGGCCCTGTTTTTGTCTGTCAGATCCCCAATTTAGTGGACAAGATCCGGTGGTTTCTCAAATCTCCCGTCTTGAATGATTGAACTGAGATTGAACTGAACAACACTGAAAATCCCCATGGCACTTGGATACTCCAGGACTGCTGCCCAGAGACATAGGGATGCATACGTCTGCATCAGGTAAAGACCTGCGGCCAAAAAGCAGGTGTCAAACAGGAGACATTCAATACATGTTTCAGCCATGATTTGGAGAGTGGAAACTCCGCCAGGTCATTCTTCTAGCCACCAGTCAACCAACTGGAAAGTATGGAGCTTCTGAGCACAAGGGCTTCCCATCCCCAAAACGTGCCTGTCCCATCAAAATCAAAAAACTGTTCTGCCCTTCTCATTTTCTTCTGCCTCAACAAAAAAGAGTTCTTCAGAAAATGCCCCCGAGACCCAGGCAACCCATGCCGGCATGCCGGGCCTACCACCGAGCAGCACATACCCAGATACGCTACAAAGATTGGCAGCCTGCGCCCAGCATAGTCCCCCAAGAAGCCTCCGGTAGCGATGTGGAAAATCCATCAACCTGGGGGTCCTACAGCCGTTCCACGGTAAATCATAACACGGGTTTCACACAGGAAACTGCGATGCAAATGCATAAAAGGACCATTTCCTTATGTGAAAGCTCAATGATGCTCCATGATAGTCTTGCTTGACATGGGGCAAACATCCGAAATTTTGGATGTGCATCCTAGTTGGTCTATGGTCGGACATAAATACCCCAGTTATTCACATGGCACGGTCTGATTCCAGGGATATCCCTAGGGCCCTAGAGCTTGCACCTGAGCTGATGGTGCCCAGTGCAAAGCCCATGTAGGTGGACAACATTTGAGCTTCCTGGCGTGCTTGGGTCAAGTCATGACTACCTGACCATTTTGACACCTCTGCATCCCAGTTTCTGGTACCTGGCTGATGACCCATGACTGGGCTTTGGATTGGATTATCACCATGGTCACATACTAAGTGAGATGCACATTCAAGCATTCACATGCTGATGTCATTGTCATATCATGCTATGCCACATGTCAATACGATCCCCAGCCTGCGCCAAATCTCCCTTCACTTTGTACTCCTGGGTGTGGGGATCTGATGCTCGCTAGCTCAAGAGATCAGGATGCTAACACCCACCCTTGGCACCCACTGCAATCTGTGTAGATTGAGTGAAGTGTTGGTTGAAACCACAAACGTTTACTAGGTTGATACCAACTTTCTAGGCTCGCAAAAATCCTCACCAATTGTAGCAGTTCATCAATAACCCTCCTGAAAAATCCTGAAAAAAAAACGTTCCAGTGGAATCCATTGAACCTAAAAAAAGAAATCCTCCAAATTCTAAAAAGCTTACTGTACACCTTGGACCTCAGAAACTTTTATAAAACAAACATCATCCAGTCCTCCCTCCACCGACGGCGCCGTTGGCGTGCGGTCCTGCATGATGGCCGACGCCAGGGCTGCAGAAGTCTGGAGACCACCGGACTCGGCAACCACTACACCTGCAATCTCGTCCCCATCCCGGAAGAGCAAAACAACCGACTTTATGGTGGCTTCACCAATCAAACATAGTGGCTTAACCAATCAATTTGATGGGCGTTTTTCATGAACTATCAAATCATGTTTCGTGAGATGGTAAGCATCAGCAAATAGGGATTTGATAAGTCAATGATGATTCGCCAGTGAAAAAAAACGGCTTCCATATGTTGAAACAAATCCAGTAGACAAAGAGCGGTGCAACCGCAGCAACCAACTTGCATATCCAAGAGTTGTTATTTGTATCCCAAAATATGGCGAGTTTAACACAAATAATTGGCACAATACAACTAAGGGGGAATGTGCAAGAGAGAGGGAAGAAACGCAACCAAACTTAAGAAAATGAATTTGTGAATAATTTGAATTTTCAAGGGGGATAAAGAACATGGCCAAGAAAATGTGGATGTACAAGAAAGTGTGACCGTCCCAAAAATCAGTTTCACTTCAAACAGCTATACCGGCTATACCAGGTTTCGGATTTTTTGGGGCCCAATCCACTGGTTGATCGCGATTTTCCCTATTAACATAATGGGTGTGTCACTTTTGCATTTATCTGTTTATGGATTCATTTATTCACTTAGATAGTTACAGTATGTTACAGTACATGAGGTCACGCACTGCACTAATTCAACCACCAGGATTCATGCATCATGATTGACAAATCCCGGGACAGTACTGAACCTTGTTGCAACACCCCTGGGGTGATCCCCCGGGTTTGAACAAATGGGCCTGCGCACAGCACGAAGACATGGACTTGGTATAAACCAAAACCAATTTCATTGATCTTATCCTCAGCGCCCGCTGGGATTTCCCGCGATTTCCCAGGCACCATCCAGGGCAGGCACGTGTCATGAGCACACCAACTGTATGAGTTTGCGGAACCTTGAAAATAGTGCTATAATGAAAGTCAGTTAGGATTACTATTCCCAATATATGGGAAAATAAAAAATGTTCCAAACCACCAACCAGCTCCAGTTCTGGCTCAAAAAAACCCTGTTTAATCATGTTATGCTGGAAAATCCCCCAAAACCGTTGACAGATCATGATGTTCCCAATGTTTCGGTTGGAACTGCAGATCATCCTTGCCAGGTTGGACCGCCGGAGGGCAACCGGGCCATCGGACAGACACCGAGGGCATGTCGGAACGCCTTAGTGCCACTTCGTTTTTTTTCGAAGATTTCTGTGATCTTCACCGAATGTTCACCAGGAATATGTTCTTCGCTATTGCTACTTTCAACGATATTTGGTCTTTAGGAATCTATTGTGTCTTGTGTGTCTACTGAAATTTGATTGCCATTGTCAGTGCAGTGATAAACTGTTGCTATTTTGTTCATCCTTGCCCATGCAACGCAAAAAAAAAAATGTGTATCTGCACGCTGCATCATTCAATGTGCAGAGTTGTGATCAATTTAGGGAATGTGTATCTGGCAAGAGAAAACAAGAGGGCACATAATTTTTGCATTTTTGTTTGGATTACGGGTATTGACTCCTGTATCTCGTGCCAACGGGACATGAGAAGGAAGTAAAGAATCACCGTTCCCAACAGAACATTCAGGTAATCCCGCGACCTTGAGTTCGAAGTTCAAGGCAAAAATAACAAAATCGCCCATGTGTTTCAACTGGATCCGCATCAAACATGGATATTTGGGCATACTACAATGCTGCATACAATTCATTCAATGGCCATTTCAGGAACCTAAATTGGAAGTACCTACCATATACAAGGCCTGTATAAAGTCTATGTAAGGGAATATCCCAGCAAAATATGTCCTTAAAGCCTTATATGGTACAGGACCTCCATTTTAGGATCCTGGAATTCCCATTGATTCATGGGAATGCACAGATACCCTGACGAAATATAACCTGGCAATGGAAAATGTCCAAACATATTTATGTATAATTATGTAAGTATACATAGATGTTTTGCAATGAATAATGGAGATTTCCCATTGCCATTTTCTATGGCAAGGTATCAACATTTTGTACTTTCGGCATTGCTGGCGCAACGAGGTTCACAATTTTGGGATTCGTGATTTGACCGCTGAGTTGGGGGCAGAAACCATCAAACCGCATTGGTCGGTGCATGAATTTCAATGGCACTTTCAATTGGAACCCCTAGGACAACATTACAAATGACACAAATGTTACATGACGTTCGGCTCACAGGAATTTATCCCAAACCCACTGCCCTGCTTGCAACTTCGGCACTCACTGCTCCGCGCCATTCTTCCTTTACATTCCCAAACTGTATGGTTTTCGCACGCAATTTCAACTGAACCATGGATATCTAAGATTGAAACCTAGTTGTTGCATCTGGTGTCTTTCCTGGCAGATTGGGCCTCTTTTTCGGCAGTTGTAAGATGAGGCTCCTGGGGGTTTCGCCTCCACCTTGAACCGATGCCACCAACGGTGCAATGTTCAATCATGGTTCGGATCATAAAGAAACATGTTGATTCATAGAAAACCCTCCCCCAACTAACAAAGACCCTGAACTGAACGTCGCATTTTTTTTTGGAGGAAAGTAGTTTTTCAACCGCATACAGAATTTATATTAATTGGAAAGATTGTGTTTTCACAAGATTTTTTTTGCGCAAACGCAGAATGGAATTGTGAAACCTAAAGACCATTCGAAAAAATCAATCATCGGACTTCAGTGGACTTACTTCCCGAAGAAAACACAATTTGTTACTTCCACCAAACAACCGCAAACCGACAAAAACCATCGACAATATTGTTGGGACCATCAAAAATTCTGCCGGCCCTTAGGTTTTTCAGCGGGCCTCTGCTGCAGCGACCCTCTGAGCTACAACTGGGACTACACATAATGTATCTCGCAATTGATTGGTTTCAAGGAAATCTATAGGAACCCGCATCAAAACGCACGGGTTTCCAGCATTTTTAAAAATCAACCCATTAAGTCACAGGACACCTCGGATTGTCTGAGTTCATGAGCATCACGTCATCAGGCACCAATTTTTCCGCGTGACTTGGCGAAGGAGGATGGAAATGAAACCTGAAACTATCTCAGGCACAATTTTGTCTCAGAAAGGTTGGGTCCGGTAGGAAAGTTCGTGAACATAGTTTGGATAACTAGGTTTTATGTGGACATATCAAGCCAGTTGGATGCATTTAGTTCAGCCAACAAATGAAACGCCGCAATATCAGAAAATAAAAAAGTGACCTTCGCAAAATAAAAGTTTGGCATGCCGAACGTCAACTGAGCATGTCGCCGCAACAAATATCGTATATCGATGGTTTTTCAACAACGGTTTGTTCCCAACACTTTCTCACATACTTGCGGTTGTGTTCAATCATCTTCCCTCCACCTACTTTACCACATGGTTGATGCTAAGTTTTAACATTTTTCCTTCTACTTTTGTCACATACTTGACGCTACGTTCCAACATTTTCTCTTCTTTACTTTACGTCCTCACATTTTTGACGCGACGCTCTAACATCTTCTGTTCTACTTACTCACAAAATTTAAAGTTCCGCTCTAACATGATGTCTAACATGTTGTTTTTTAACTTTCTCATTAGCTTCATGCTATGTTCTAAGATGTTCTCTTCTACTTTGTCACATCACCGATGCCACACTCTAATTTCTACTGCAGCTTCTATTTTCTCAAAAAACCGGATGCTACATCAATTTGTATTCTAATGTATCTACTTTCCTCACATAATTGATGCCGCACTCCAACTTCTAGTGCTTCTTACTTTCTCGCAATTTTTTTGTGGTCGGCGCCCGTTGCCTTTCGGCGGGTCGCACTTGAGACTCCCGAGTGGACCAGCAGGGATTCGAACAACCGCCGGCAGTCTGTCAGCGCTGGCAAGACCAACGCCATACCAACTGAGCCATCGGGTCGCCTGCTTCTTACTTTCTCGCAAACTTGTTGCTACACTCCAACTTCTGCTGCCTCACATGTACTATGCAACTCATGAGTTTTGATCCCACACGATCATTTTGTCTCCTGAGCTGTCTGGTGAGGCAATTCCAGGTCCAAAAAGCACGACCTTTCCTAAAAGGTTGACTGAACAATTCCAAATAGCTTTGAATCACAAATTCAGCTAGCTACAAAAGCTTGATCTACTTCCAAAAGTTCTCAAATAATCCGGTTCTCATCCAAACGTGAATAACCAGAGTTCTTTACATTCAAGAACGAAGTAGATGATTACAAATGTTCTGTACAATGTTCTTCGGGTTGACAAAACTTCCTCAAACCTCATGTTCTTTCTCGAAAACGTCTCGTTCAGCCAAAACAAAGTTCCAGCATCTTGAAACACTCTCCAACAAAGCCAAAACGAAGAATCACGATGAAATCACTAGAAAAACCATGCAATGCAGAATCGCCAGCTATAAAATGTACACGATGGAAACCAAATGTCCCGATCGCGTGCAATGCCCAGATTCAGCTCTGATGGATGAAGATTTTTGTCTTGTCCGAGCCCGACCAGCGGGGAATCGAACCACCACCGGCAGTCCGTCAGCGACACAAGAGTGCCGCGATACCAACTGAGCCACGAGGACGCCGAGCTCAGATAGATGAAGATGGGCATCACGAAATATAAAAATCAATAATACCTCATCCAGTGCAGTGTCCAGACTCAACTCTAACAGTCGTCCTCGTGACTCAATTGGTGTCGCGGCACTCTTGTGTCGCTAACAGACTGGTATGGCGGCACTCTTGTGTCGCTGACAGACCGGTAGTCGTAGCAAGTGCAGACCCACCGTTCAGTGCACGGCAAACGCAGTTCGTCTTGAACCAAAGACCTGAGCAAGAAGTTGTGAGAGGACTCTGAGAGGCTGGAATGCAATGGTGCACCTAATCCTTTCCTTTTTGTTTTTTTTCCTCGAGTGTGGCCGATGTCGCACTAATGGCTCGGTCCTTACATGTGAGTAAGCAGACTAAACTCTGTACAAGGACAAAAAGTCCTTAGAATAAGCAAATCGATGTAACAACCAAACGGAAACCACAAACACACCACAAACGACGACCCGCAAATCCCCCAGCCAGACTTGCGTTTCGCCAGCGGAAACAGCGAAGCAAACAGCAGAAAACAAGCCAAACACAAAAAACGGGGCCAGAGCCCAAACAAAAACACCCACCGAATCGATTTGCAATTGGACGCAGTGGCAAATCCACTGCATCACTATCAAAAGCATGCAAAAAGTGAATTATATATCGCAGCTGCCCAGGCAGACATGAAGACTCTAGCGCTAAAGTTAACCCTAGCATGAGACAAGCTGTACACGAAAGCAGAGCTACTAAGAAATCTCTCTCAGAGTCCTCTCAGGTCAGCTCGCCATGGGCCTTCATGGACGTAATAGTCATCCTCTTGACTGTCAGCTGCGATCACAAATCCAAAGCCAAAAGAAGTCAGAACCCCCCTATGAAGGGGGGGCCAGTGAAGGCAATGAGGAAGCAAAGAAGGCCAGGGAGCGGCTTCCAATCATGCCATCGCCGACAACACATCAAATAGGGGGGAGCACGCCCCTAGTTTCATAGGGGAGATGCAGCCATCCATTGTATGGTCTCAGTCAGCGACTTACTTGGTAGTATCCGCAAAACTGAGCAACATGCAGAAAACGCTTGTGTCTATAAAATGTCTTTGCAATTGCCACAGTACCAGTGCTGTCGTAGGCAGTGTAGCGTTCGAAAAGCAGGTTCGCAAGGGATACAAACTGCAGAACTGTTCAGGACATTGCAGGATGTCATCGTTCCTGAAGGACCCGCAGTGCGTTGCAGTACGTACCGGAGAACATGGTAGCAAAACTGCGGCTGTATTGCCACTCACCCAGAGAGCAGACAGGCTGCAGAATTGCCACATCTTTCTGTCCAGTGACGAACCATGTTGGCAGTCTTGTGCTGCTCGCGGGCACTCCAGGTTGTCCTACAGGGAGGAACACCGGAAAGCACCGGTGAAGCTCGCTGCAGCACAGGCTGGTCCATGGCATCGGCCGGCTAACTATCACTCCACTCAGTTGGATTCAGCTACCGAACGAGATCACCCAGCCAGAGGACATACCAGGGGGACCCAAAGAGAACAAGCGAATTAAGGCAAATTAGAAAGCAGCTCCTCAGAGAAAAGAAGGCCTGCCAGCACGAAAGGCGGAAGAAGTAAGCGGCCTTTACGGGCACTGGCGATACGGCTGTCCTGAGTCGTGGGTCACAAGAGTGCTGTGTCAGCGTCTTTCCAGTGTAAAAAATAACCAACCAAGAACCATCCAGAAACCAAAGAACGTACAGTCAAACAAATCTCCATTCATTGTGCCTGAGTGAGAGCAGGGGAGAATGAAACAAAACAGAAAAAGCAGAGGAAGCACGCAAGGTCCACCAGAGACACAGACAAACAAAAAGAAAGCCCAGCAAAGCACAACCGGACAAAAAGACCAAGCGGCAACCAGACAGGAGGAGGCGCCGGGCAGGCAGAGGAGGACAGGGCGGAGAAGGCTGCACCAATCACATTGGAATAGCAATAGTGCAGCTTAGCGGAGTCTAACATGGGCCTGGATCATCAGTCGATAAAAACCTCAGTATGACCAAACTAAGCTCCCCGACGTCACCAGTGACATGGTGTAGAGGGTGAAAACCCCACACAGGGCGAGTAGCCTTTGTTGCCATGAACCGAATGACGGAAGGATAGCAAAACTTAACCACACTCCTAGCATGAAGCAGGGCAACAGGGCCGTCACAGATGCAACCAGATACCCAGAGGGAGGCACCAGCACACCGGGGTGTGAGCTGGACCAGGGCGCACACAAGACCACCCGCGGGGCAAGAGAGGCAGAAAGAACAAAGACCGGAACCACAACAAAGGAGGGCAGACAACACGGGAAACAATAGAGCCCGCACAAGCACAGCGAGAAGCGCAAAAACAAGAGAAACGGCGAGCCCGCAAGAGCACAAAGACAGCACAATCACACGAGCCCCACAGGGCAACACATACAAAGAAGCACATGACAGACAAGGAGGAGGAGGACAGCACAGACAAAGCAATTGAGAGGCACAGTGCGCAGGACCTGAAGGAGGCACGAAAACATGAGGACAGAAAATAGGAGGGACATGCAGCAGAGCAAAACAAGAACGGAAAAGGAATTAGGGAGTACAAGTGTACCTGCCACGTCTACGGACAGACACACAAGTACGACAGACACTAAGCTCAAAACATACACCTGGGAGAATGCGACCCCAATGCACCTGCCGCGTCTATGGATAGATGCACCAGTGGCCAGGAAGACCCAAGTGACGAAAAAAATAATCTTTTCCTTTTTTTTTTGTTTTGTTTTTTTC